AAAGATTTCCCGGCTTCAATTCTGTTCAAGAAAAACTCAATCCCGAGCCTCAACTTGTCCTCGGAAGTCCTCAGAACTGATGGGGACTTCCTAAACATTGACAAACACTCTTTCTCTGAGAATCCATAGCTCTTGAAAAGCTCTAGTTTCCTCGTGTACGTCTCGCTGGATATGCAGCTGAGAGAATGCAGGCCATGAACAAACATTTTGGAATTGTTCGAAAACCCCATATCCGAAACCCTGGAAACTAGGTCTTTGAGCATGGGTAGAGACATGGTGAAGATTCTAGGCTGCCTTCTAAAGAGTCTCTCAAGCTGGGACCCGGCGATGCCGCAACTCTTCAGGTATTGGACATTGGGAAGCAACATGTCCTCTGGTCTTTTGGAGAGGATCCAAAGGCACCTCCTTAAGACCAGAAACAAGTTACGGTTGTCAGATTCGTCTCTGATGAACTCCTTGATGAACGCAATGGATGGCCGGATTACGGAATCCAAACTACAAGTTAACAGATACGGCTGCACTGAGGTGAACTTACCGACATCGTCACCGGAGAGGCCGAGCTCTTGGAGCAGAGCAATTTTAGGTTTCAGCGTCTTCTCAACGTCGACACAGAGGAGCTGCGGGGCGGAGCGCACTAGGGTTTGGACGTGGGCATCCGAGAAGCCAATCGATCTGAGGTACTGGACCACGGATTTGGGTTTTTCTAGGGATTTGATCCATGGCAAGCGGCAAGATGCGTCGTGGGCTTTGGATTTGGGGAATTTCAAGGTTTCGATCAGGTAGTTGTAGAAAACCGGGTTGGGTTCTAAGGCTTTGGTCGAGAAGAAGGAGACAGAGAAGACCAAAGGACCAACGGATGATTTATGGTGGAGCAATTGCAGATGCGAAGGAATTGAAAAGAACCTATGGTAAGCCTTGGGAAGATAAAACCGAAGGTGATTAAGCATCGAAAGATGCTTAGGGTTTCTGTACTTCAACATGTGTGCCTAGGGTGGCTTCCCAAAGGGATTTTAACTAGAACCACATGTACATGGCTCCAAAGTTCAGCTTATCTTTAGCGAGATGAAACACATATTTCTCTGGCTCCTGCAAGACATTCCAAGTGCAAATTCCAGTGATTAAAAATGTAGAAAGAGTTGTTATAACTAGTGCATCAATGGTGCAATGTGCGGTCAAAACATTAATGATGATAGTAACGTTAAGAAATTAATGAATGAGGACATGTACTTAAGCTAAATAACAAATTCATGTCGTTCGTAAAGAGTAAATACATACGGAGTATAAGATACCAAAAAAATTGAGCTTAAAAAGTACAATATCCCAAATTCTTCAGTACAATACTTGAATGTACAATGTTCATGGTATATCAAGACATATAATACACCTATTCATTCTATATTACTATGAGGAGAACATTTTATAACTAATATACACTCTGACAGTCATAATATCAACCAATAGATTCAATTCTATAATCATAAATCAATACTTGTTCATTGCTACGGACCCAACTTGAGTATTCGTACAATCCAATTTGTCAAACTGGATGAATTTTGATCAAAAATTCAATAAAAAATGTTTGCATAGTGATACAATGAGGCACATTTCGGAAAGTTTTTGCATGATAAATCTAATGAAACGTTTTTGTATTGATATGCAATGTGATTTTATTTAGCAGATGATCACAGTTCATCTAGTTTGACCACAAAAAGTCAAACTAGAGGAGACAAAGGTAGTGGCGGAGCTAGCAAACTCATGTCATGGGGTCCCATACACAAAAATATGTATCAACACCCCACATGTTGAGCTATAGGTACAAAAGTGATCTATAAAATCAAAGCTTACATGTAATGTGACAAAATCATATGTGTCACACAAAAAATCATCAAGAATATATGATTTCTTGTAGTGTATTGATGTTTAAGCCGCCCTATATACAACCCCAGGCAAGCCGTTCTATGTTCTAACTGGCTAGAACAAAATAAGCAACTCAGTGAATTGAATTTTCATCACTTTTGAGCTCTATTAAATTATCAATTCAGTAATATCAAAATACGAGCTTCTAAATCCAACAGATTGAAAACGAAGTACACCGTGATAAGTCATCATTACAATACAATAAACAGTCCATGTCGTATAAAAAACTACATGACCGTAGTATAAATAAAGATGATAAGGCTCTGAACAGGATTTCTTCAGCTTGTTTTAGTTGAGCATTGTTAAAGAAGTTATGAATCCAGATTAACCAATAAGAACCACTAAAATTCATACTTTAAGCCAATTTGGAAAGACCACCATGCCTGTTGGAAACCATTAACAATTGATTTTAATCCCTAATCAATTAATCGAAACATAAATCATAAAACCCCAAATTAACAAGTCCCATTGAATTCATACTCGTAGTTCACTTAAGGTATGCAGTAGTTGGTAGTCGTTTAAAACAATTAAATAAAAACGAAGTATTTACCTTGATGAAAAAATCCAAGTAAGAAGAACATTGAGATGAAGGATTTGAAGACTTACCTTGATAAAAACAGCGGCGACTCCGAGGGTAGCGGCTTGACGGTCTCACGGCGTGTCAGCGGCGTTCTGTGTTGGCCTCGGCGGCGTTCGGCGTCGGCGGAGACGCGGAGTGCACTCCCGAGCACGGAGTTTCCTGAGTGTCTGCGCCCGTCAACTCTTGGCGGTATCAGAAATGAGTGTTTAGGTTTTTTAATTACTCCCTCCTTCCCAAAATATTTACACATTTGCTTTTTCAATAGTCGCGAGAATTTTTGTTTATTTCTACGTTTTCATTGGTTATTTGATAAAATAAGATATTCTTGACGCCTCTTATTTCGAAGAACTTTTCATGTAGTTTTTTGATATGTAAATTTTATTTTTTATTTATATACCAATATGTAAATAAAATGAATTGAAAAAACGTAATATTTTACCTCGGGAATACAAGTGTGGCAAATATTTAGGGACGGAGAGAGTATTATTTTATCAAAATAAAAACTTAATGAACGAGGAAGTGTCAAAAGAATTTATAATGAACGAGGAAGTTTATTTGTGGACAGAGTAGTATAATTTATTGATTGATTTTATCAAATTTAATGAAAGTGTCAAAAGAATTTAAAAATAATATTAAAATTTGTTTGAAATGAAAAGGATGTAGCCAAATTATCAACTCTTTTTCATTGAAATGGAATGAAAAAATCAGTATGAGGACAAATAATAATTTAAATTTTGAAAATTATTTATAACAAAGCTACAAGTACTCGTGTTAATTTACCAAATTTTACTAAATTCACATTATAACTAGATATAATTTTTCCTCAATTTGCGTTCAAAAGATGTTGCAGTTTGACCAAAAAAGTCAAAATGTGATAATTTTTTTGGGACAGAGAAAGTATCTGCATAAGACTACATAATGTGAAGTTGAATTTATAAAAAAGTAGGACTTCTAATATTATTTTTTACTCTATATATTCCATACAAAATTATTTTTTGAATATCAATGACTCTATTACGGAATACTCTGTATTAGATATTATTTGCTTATACATACAATTTGTCGAAACGCATAAAGTCAACGTTTCTGTTTAAATTTAGAGGAGCTTCTCATCTTAAATCTTTGGGAATGATCCCTCATAGCAAAGATGGAAAGTCTCTCAAATACAAAATATTGTCATTTGGAGGCATACTAGTATGTAATTTGATATTAAATGTCATAATTTAATACTTTTCGTGTCCTATAAATAGATTTTAAATTTTTTTTGTTCGTACAAAAAAATTTACTTTTTCAATATTGAAAATAATTTAATGTTCATTATAATTTCTCTCTTCTCCATCATATCTAAATTTTTTCTAAAAAAGAAAGTCGCTCACATGGGTACCTCAACTAGTCCAAAGAGAGAATGTCAAACCCGATGATCCTAGGTCGAATCTCGACAACGACATTGTGAGAATTCTAGTATGGAGAAAACCAAAATAAGACTAAAACATTGAAAATATACCAAAATAGGATTTTCATGTTTTTATTCCCGAAATAAGACTTACATTACCATACATAGTCATATATATTACCAAAAAAGTATAGTAATTTGCACATATACACTGCCACATTATAACAGGGCAAAGTCACATTACCACAATGCAAAGTTCTATTTCAGGAAAAAACATAAAAATTCTATTTTGGTACTTTTCTTTAGGGGTTGTTTGGAAACTTTTGAATAGGTAAGTGCTGAACCAGTAAGAGGTCTGAACCATTAAATGCTGAACGAGTAAGAGGTCTGAACCATTAAGAGCTACTTCCTCCGTCCTATAATGATCTTCCCAGAGCACTATTCCAACTTCACGGGAATTTATATTTATTTGTGTTTTTTATGGCCTATAGGATAAAATAAAATATTCTTGTCACCACTTGTTTTGTTGAACTTTTGGTGTAGTTTTTAAATACTCCCTCCGTTTGGAAAAACCCTCCCATTTGATTTGGGGGCAAAAATAAGGAAGTGTTAAATTATAGTTGATTTCCAATTTTGCCCCTGATGTGATGGGTAAAAGTAAGATGTGATGGAAAGATTATTAGAGAAAAAGTATGATGTGATAGGTAGGGTAGGAAAAAGTAAGGGTAAAAGTGGTTTTTTAATAGAAAGGGGAAGTGTTTTGTTGGAAGTGGAAAAAATGAAAGAGGAAGTGTTTTTGAGAACGGAGGGAGTATGTATGTTTTATTTTTTATTTCTATACCAATATTTAAATAAAATAGATTGAAAAAACTTGAGATTTTTCTTCGTTTTGCGAAGCGGGAAGATCATTATAGGACGAAGGGAGTAGTATATTGCTTAACTATTCAGAGGCAAATGCCTGATCAATTCAGATAAGAGGTCTTAACCATTCAGACTCTGTATAATACTTAATCATTCAGAGGCAAATGTCTGAACCATTCAGATATCTGAACCATTAAGAGGCTGAAACAAACCGTCTAAACCATTAAGTGCTGAATCATTCAGACATCTGAAAGAGCTTATATTCTAAAAAAAGAAAGTCAACTATCTGTTTCTTGAAAAGATGGAGTAAACGCGGCTCATGTGCTTTGGTTTCTCAGGCTTTCCCCCCTGGGCAATTCACCACCGTTCTTCCATTTTCGTACGCCATTCCATCCAAAGGTATTTCTTTATTTTTTTCTAAGCTCCATCTTCTTCAGTATATTAACGAACAAAAATTATGACTCGATTCAGTTTTCCAGATATGAAATCTCGCCATTAATGAAATTTTTAGATGGTCTAAATTCCAAATCTGGAACGCTGCAAATCTTCCACTTTACGTGTTTTTTCCCGAAGATGTGTATGAAACTGCACTCTACAAATCTTATTTTCACCTTTCAGATGAGTATTTCACTGCTTCATTTGTTATATTGATATAACAAATGATACACATATTTTCTCAATATTGTGTTTTTTTTTAAAAAAAATATTTCTATTAGACTGACTCGGCTGTATATTTTGTGCTTTTTGAAATATGTTTTCGAGAAGTTTTTAAATGTTTTTGGAGTATACATTACGGAGTACTGCATTAAAATGTGTGCATTTAATTTTCACTAATCCCTCTGTCCTGAAATGTTGTTGTGGTGGTTTATGATGTTTGAGTAGAGTTATTTTCAATTCAATTAGTTCGAGAATTGGTGCGAAGTTTGAAGTTTGTATATTTAAAAACTACATCAAAAGTTATATGAAACAAAAAGGTGACACGATAATATTATTTTATCAAATAACTAACGAAAGTAAGCAAAGAAAGTATGTAAAGTTTGACCTTATACAGTAAAAAACAACTTCATTTTGGGATGGAGGTAGTATATTATTTATGCTGTATTATATTAAGAGACCGGATGTATGCATTTTTCTTAGTTTTTTTTATTTGCTCAGGCAAAAGAAAATTTAATTTTTAATGCAGGTTTGCTGGACTGCTTGTGTGGAAAAGGTCATTTTTAGCTCAATATATGGAGTGAGAGCAAGAGCTCTTTCCACCCCTCCATTCATTGGGTGTGTATAGAGTTCAAAGAGAGCCACAACATAGCCACTGTAAATGCTGTATTTAGTGTTTTGGAGTACTGGAGTACTCTCACAACTCTCATTGCCACTTAGTGTTTTATTGAGAACAACAAAAATCTAAATTTTGAAGCAAAGTATACATATATAAAACCTTGAAACCTCTAAGAGAATAACCCTATGTGCCCTTGCTCCTAAAGAGTCCGTTCCTCGTGGTTACTTTTTTATTCTGTCAAAAATTGGCAAAGTGAATTGCAGTGTTCTTCATAGGATGGAGAACTACAATTCTCAGTCTCCTTACCCTTATGGTAATAACAATAACAATAGTCCATATGGGTATAATCAACCTTACCCTCCTCATCCCTCACCAAATCAATCTTACCCTCCCCATCCTCCTCCAAATCAACCTTACCCTCCCCATCCTCCTCCAAATCAACCTTACCCTCCTCCTCATAGTTCTGGGACATATACTCCCCCGTTCACATACCCTCCTCCCTATCCCCAGTACCCACACCCTTACACCACGTCACCCTCTGGTCATCTGAACTATTCTCCTTCAGCTCCTTCTACTAGTGGATACCATCAGCCGAGTCCTGTAGAATATGGGTATTCCCCACCACCACCACATCCTTATCCCTACAGTGGATATATGCCTCATGCTCCTCCTTCAATTTCTTCCTCTCAACCTACCCTTCAACATCACGGCAGTTTTGATTATAGTTCATCTCACCATCATCAATCGATTCCTACACGTCCTTTAGAGAGCCACTCATCAAGAATCAATATTAGTACATTGTCAAATAGTAGTAGTAATGTGACACATCTTGATCCACCCATTCACCCTTCGGGTTACCCACCCGTGGAAGATATGATAGCAAACATGCAATTGTCAGAGGCTCCTCAGGCTGGTCCTTTTGGACCTTGTTCTCAGCCATTGTACCACTCGGGGACAATATATGGACATCCTAATTCATCCTTTTCAAGTTGGGAGTCATCTTCAACGCAAGCCGAATCAACTCCCCATCACCACCTTTCATACTCAAACTCATTCTTGGAAACAGGATCTAATAATCAGAGTCTCCAACTCGTGCCAGTCACGCCTTCTAAAGGATCTTTGAAGGTTTTGTTATTGCACGGGAATCTTGATATTTTTGTCCACGAAGCAAAAAACCTCCCAAACATGGACATGTTTCACAAAACAATAGGGGACATGTTTAACAAATTTCCAGGCAATATGAGCTCAAAGATTGAAGGGCACATGAGTGACAAGATCACGAGTGATCCCTATGTCACAATCACAGTCGCAGGTGCAACCGTCGGACGGACTTATGTGATAAGCAACAGCGAGAATCCTGTTTGGAAGCAACATTTTAATGTCCCGGTTGCACATCACGCTGCTGAAGTGCACTTTGTTGTGAAGGACAGTGACATCGTAGGCTTTCAGCTCATAGGAGCTGTGGTAATCCCAGTGGAGCAGATATATGGTGGGGGAAAAGTTGAGGGGTCCTTCCCAATCCTTGCAAGTAACGGAAAACCTGCAAAGGCCGGAGCTGTTCTAAGTCTCTCTATCCAATACACACCGATGGAGCGCTTGAGCATTTATCATTGTGGGGTTGGAGCAGGCCCAGAGTATAACGGGGTTCCAGGGACATATTTTCCATTACGGAAGGGTGGAAATGTCACTCTTTACCAAGATGCACACGTGCCCGATGGGTTCCTTCCAAATTTGGGACTTGACTATGGGATGCAATATGTGCATGGGAAATGTTGGCGTGATATATTCAGTGCAATACGGAGTGCAAGAAGGTTGGTATATATAACAGGATGGTCAGTGTGGCACAAAGTCAGACTGGTGAGGGATGATCGTTCTCTTGAAGGGTACACATTGGGGGAACTGCTGAAGTCAAAGTCACAAGAAGGCGTGAGGGTTCTTCTTCTCGTGTGGGATGATCCCACCTCAAGGAACATTCTTGGTTATAAAACGGTAAATACTCATATTTGCATCAAATAAATCTTATTTTCATCTGGTGTAGGCATGCTTTGCCAACACCTATCAATGATGATAATGTATTTTGTTGATGATGATTATGATGTAGAGCTTGAAGGAATCAAAGTATGAAACTGAACTACTGCTATTGAAGATGTCATTCAATCTATCTGAAACTTATTTTTGTGTGGAAACTGGAAACTTAACATATTCTTTCATTTTCAACATCATTACTTGCAACCAATTTTTTTGAGTTGGTGGCTTGAAATTCTGTGTTAATTAATTATTAAAGGCAGTTAGTTCATGGAAAAAATTAACATGCTTGAGGGAAAACGTTGTTTCGTCTACATCATTAGGCAAGCTTTGCCAATACACATAATTGATGATGATGTAGTTTCTATGATTAGATGACTATTTAGAAGAGTACATAGCTTGAAAGAGTAAGCAAAGATGAATTTTACCACAGATGCTGGAATTGTGCTCTATTAGAACCAAAAGTCTTCAGATGTGTGACATTGTTTGCTTGACTTGATGGTTTTGACTACGATATTGCTTTTGTTATACTTTATCCATCCCTAAAAAAGAGTCCTGTTTGCTCAAGTAAAGTTTTTTATTTGAGAAAAGGCTTAGAAGTAATAGAATTTGGTCAGTGTACACGTATTTTTAATACGGAGTAATTATTTGTTTGCATAACAAAAAAACAAACAAAAAAAGTCCCAAAAATTTATACTTTGTAAACAGTCTCTACATCGCTATAAGTAGATGTAAGGTATGCATACATCAGCATCTTGCCCAGAACCAGTAAGTGTGATTTCATTGTGGGCATGATGTTTTTGCACTCCCTCTGTCCAATATCTTTCTTCCCTACACTATTCACATGGGCAAATTTTATATACTTTCTTTGCCTATTTTCGTTACTCATTTGATAAAATAATATAGTAATGTCACATCTAGTTTTGTAGATTTTTTTATGTAGTTTTTAAATATATAATTTTCATTTTTAAAATTTTATACCTACAATCAAATAAATTGAATTGAAAATAAAGTCGGTCAAGCCTCATAACGTGTAATGGGAAGAACCAACTTAGATTGAGGGAATATTTGGTTAGATAACTGAATTGATTATATACTCCCTCCGTCCTGAAATAAACTTTAGTGTTTGACTTAAAGAGGCTTAAGGAAAGTGTTGAAAAGTATCTGGTTGGAACTTGTTTAGAGAGAGAAAGATTTTGAGCCACATAGTTCATTCCTTAAAAGGGAATGGGAGAAGTATGAAGTTTATTTTCGATGGAGGGAGTAAATTAAAATGTTTTGAAAATATTTAGGAAAAAAGTAAAAAACAGCTTAGATTCATCAATTATAATTCAAAAAAAGCTTCTAAAATAAAACTTTTTGGAGGGAGGATATAGTTTTTCATATATGCATATTTAGATGTGAGCTAAATGATAGGTTAAACCTATCTGAAAGTACTTTCTAATTTTATGTTTTTGGAAATTTAACATATTTATATCATCATCATCATCTGTTACCAGAATAGTTTGGAGTTGATGACAAGAAATTTTGTGTTAAGTAATCATCCGAAGTTATATTAACACTATAAAAATTCGTGCAAAAAAAGTGACAGGGTCTCTGTTGGATGTTGCAACCATTTAAAGAAAGAATGAGATAAAATTTCAAAACCATCACCATAGGGGTTATCCACTTACGTAGAAAATATCACGAGATAATAATAAGTTGGGATATTTGTTATAGTCATGTCTCATTGCCAAATTGATATTGTAAAATTTTAAAAACTTATTCTTAGCCATGACAAATCTTCCGTACGCAGGATGGAGTCATGGCAACTCATGATGAAGAAACTCGCCACTATTTCAAACACTCTTCAGTGCAAGTGCTTCTTTGTCCCCGTGTAGCTGGTAAGCGTCACAGTTGGCTGAAACAAAGGGTAAGTATCTGTAATCTTATTTTAAATTCTTTCTTGCTAGCTAGATTTAGCAATGCACCCTCCAAATTCTTATGGCTAAGATTTCATTTGGCTTTGATTGTACTATTTGGAGATTCTAGTTTTTTTTTTTCCGTTGAGGCATTTGTTACCTCAAAATGTCTAAAGCCTTTTTTGCCTGAACTGTCAGGAAGTTGGAGTAATTTATACACACCATCAGAAAACTGTGATAGTCGATGCAGAGGCGGGAAACAATAAGAGAAGAATTATAGCATTTGTTGGAGGACTTGATTTGTGTGATGGGCGATATGATAGTCCCGAGCATCCCATATTTAGAAGTCTCCAGACTCTCCACTCGGATGACTACCATAACCCAACATTTGCTGTAAGCTTTACTTGTTAAATACTAACT